CACTCTCTCTCACACACACACACACACACACACACACACACACACACACACACACACACACACACACACACTAGTAAAGTCCCGGGTTTATTTTGCAGTGTGAACTAATGTTGATACTGCTGGGAGACTTACCACCTTGGGAAGTGACTTGTCAAGTCTCAGCAGGATGTTAAGCTGGGTCTGGGTTATACATTACACACATGGAAAACTTAGATGGAAAACCCAGGGTGCTGTGTGAAGTGGTACTGGTGATTCAACAGGTGAGGACTCATCTCTTTGAGTCAGTACTGAATCTATGGTCCACTGTGGTAATACAGGTATGGAATGACAGGAGGTGCCAGAGTTTGACTAAATATAAACCCAGGCTAGATCAGTCATGGTCACTGAAGACGACATGAAATTTTTGCCAGAGCAGATGTGTTAGCCCCAGCACTTGAGTCAATTCAAACTTGGAAAATTATACTTTACCTATTTAAAATTAAGCAGGTAGTTTCAACTGGAGAAGTTATTCCTCATTTTCCCTCCTGGAAACTGATTTGTAAAAAGGAGACTGATTATTGTCACTATGAAGCGGTGTGGCTTAATGGAGACAGTACTAAACTGGGACTCAGGAGACCTGGGTTCTATTTCTGGCTCTGCCACTAGCCTGCTGGGTGACCTTGGGCAAGTCACTTCCCCTCTTTGTGTCTCAGTTTCCCCATCTGGAAACTAGGGATATTGATACCGACCTCCTTAGTAAATCACTTTGAGATATATAGTGCTTTGCATCAGTAGAAAAGCTAGGTATTATTATTGTTATAATAAGTGTGTTCAACACCTAAGTTTAAAGGATTCCTTTTAGTAATATGCACTACATGAGGGGGAGGGAGAACGTGCTGTTTATCTAAGAAAGCCAGGTTTCATTAAACAGTAGACACAGTAATATATTACTCCAGAGAAGAATAATCCTAAATAAATTTATTGCAGATATTAAAATGAAATGAAATTGTCCAAATACGGATATGAAAAAGGACTTCATGATTAAAGTGGTAAAACAGGATGTGCATACTGAAACATCAAGTGACTTAAACAGTATAAAAAGGGCACATGCCAGAAGAACAGAGACCTTTACTGACATGGAACTGTATCCCATGGACCTTAAGAGAGCCATAAACTAGAAGAAAGATATAAAACAGAGAAACATCTGACAACCTTGGAAACAAAGTCTAGTGTCAAATTCTGTGTTGCTTTACTTCATCCCTCTCTCTTATCCATTCAACCCCCATTAAAGTGAATAGGGTGTACAAGGGGAAAACTAGTCAGAATCTGGCTTTTAGAATTTAAGAAGTGTAGTCTTGCTTGTATCCTTCTGCAATGTACTACAATGTCTAATTGTCCACACATACAATTTGATGATTCAAAAATTACAGAATTATACTGTTATTTTATTGCACATTATTTGGTTATGGATACACAATGTGATATCAAATGAGGGCATGTAAAGCAAAAGCAAGCACTCCAGAGATGTTAGATGCCATATTGAATCTGTACATGAGCATTTTTTTTTTGGACTGTCTAAGGAACAGTAATCACATATGATTAACAAACGATGCTTTGAATTATTTTTGTTAGCGAAAAATTCCCCTTAGAGACCTGCATGATAGATCTTGACTGACATTTAACTTTCCCTACAGACATAAAAGAAGCAATTTCCATGGGGAGTATAAGCAACTCTCACGCCAATCCAGGAAAATCTCTGCTCAGATATCCAGGCTTCTAAATGTTGTATTTTGTTCTAAGACAGAATATGTTACAGTTGATTGTGAGCATGCAATACATATTGAGTGCATCTAGTTTCCTAGCTTTTTATCATTGCTTACCTGAAGAGCAAATAAGGAACACAGTGTAAGCTCAAAATATTTTGAACAAGTATGGATGATATAAAACAAAAAGTAAATTCAACACTAGTGCAAGGGAAAAGATGTTGGGGCCCTCTTTATACTTCTAGTTGATTAGTGTGATTGCCTCAATCCCAGCTGGCCTGAGGGTAAAAATGAACTTGCACACATGGGTTTAAGTTCCGGCACCAGGAAAAGATCTTTTACTCAGTAACCCATTCACATAAGGAAAAGGATTCTGAAGCCAAAATCCAAAAAGTACAATGAAAGGTCTTCCTACATTCCAAAAAGGAGTACAGTACAATACCTTTCTGTTCTCCTCAAAGTTTCAGACACCAGGAGCTCCTTTCACTCTCTGCTGCTTTTATTTTTTGGGGAACCAAGTGATCACTATTCCCTTCTAGAGATCAAGCTGGCCACCATGATAAGCCTTTTGCCACAGAATCAGATGTTTGCTACCTTATCCAATGTCAGCATTGCTTGAATCTGGCTGTACTCAACAGTGTTTTAATCCTCTGGTTTTGGGGTCCATTCGACTCATCCCTTGATACTTGTAAGCAAAATTTTCCAATTTGGGTGTTGAAGGTTAAACACAAACTCTAATAAAGGGGCCCGATTTTCAGAGGTGCTGCGTACCTGCATCTCCAATTGAATCACAAGAGCTGCAAACACTTATCTCTAAATCAGGATCAGGGTTTCTCAGGCGAGACCCCTAAAAATTGAGGCACCCAAAATTAGTGTCCATGCTACTCCTGACAAATGACACTTAATGCTTGTAAACAGAAGGAAATGTCAACAAAAACTAAAACTTTAGATTTGTGATGCAGTCTGGGATTTCATTTGTGTCATTTATGTATATCGAAGCAGTGATTGTTTCTGCCATAAGGTGGGTGCTAGAAAGAGAAAGGTCAACAATAGAAAAATAAATGTATGTATTCCATCAAATTGCACGGCTCACAACTGATGGCAGCTTTTAGGTATTTTATGCAATAGACGCCTCGAACACGAAGTAGCCAGCATTTAATAAACACAGTAGCTATGTTTGGAGAAATCATGCCCTTTCCAGTTGATTGTATCCTCAGAAAAACAAAAGGTTAGTACCGAATTCAAAGTCAGCACCTCAGCTGTCATTACATATAGCAGCATAACAATATAGTTGAATTGAAAAGTTAGGTATTGTGCGATAGCAAGCATTCTGAACAATTAATGCAATTACACTTAGGTTTGTGCTTCACAAAATATCAAGGATTTGAAGTGTGATATCCTTTATCAGTCTTAACAATACAATACAATACACTAGTCAATGAAAGGGGGATCAAAGCAGTCAAAGATTTAAGGAAGAGGTTACTTGTTTCTGAAATGCCTTTGTAGACGTCACACTCCTACTGCACTAATTTTAACTGTGTGGTTATTATTCAGTTTTAAACCTCTCATGACATCCCTTTAAAACCCATCTGTCCACAGTAAATTGGACTGATAAGAGCATAGGGTGCAGAACTCAATCAAGTTTAGGTTTACTGTAGTCCCTCCTCATTCTGGGTCCAATTCTGCCACCCTCATTCATAATGAGCAGCACTTGACTGGCTCAGTGGTCAAAGCAGATTCCAAAGCTCACCAGTTCTGATGTCTGTTCCCACAGATCTTGGTGTTACAGGGTGAAGCAGCCTTACACTACCTTGTGCATAGGAGATGAGGGAGGGTACAAAGGAGCAAACATATTTGAAAGGGTTTCCTGACTCATAACTAGCTAGACAACAGCATCTGCAGTGTGTGGAGGGGAATCACCCACCTCATTTTTTATCAGGATGGAGACTCTGTATTGATGGGAAAAGCACATTAAAAAGGTGCATGGTGGGAGATCCTTCACCAGAATCTTTAGAAATGCCTCAGGGAATTGCTTCCCTATTAGAAGGTGAAGACATTTCAAAAGGGATTTTAAGCAAAATAGATGCATTATGTATTTGCACAGAGAACAAGGGAGCAGGGTGGGGGGTAACATTAACACTCCCTTCTTCCCCGCTTCCACTGTAAGAGAAAGGGAGCTGGTGGAGGCTGGAATCTTTACCCCCCACCCTCCCCCCCCACCACTGAAGTGGAGAGAGTGAGTGAAAGGCTAGCGTTTCCTTCACCTCTCATCTCTGGGGAAGGCAACAGGAGTTGGTATTTCCTTTTTCTCCTTTCAGGATTTGCCTTTCGCCTTGTAGGTTATCCGTGGAAGGGAGAGATCTTTCTTCAGAGGAGGAGTAAAAGGGGATTCTCTCTTCTTTCCCTGTCAGGTGCTGTTGCTGTTCTACTGGAAGAAAAAGATGGGATCCCTAGGAACTCCTCCTCATCAGCTCCCCCAAGCCAGAGAAGGGGGAGCTAAATTCCATGTCTCACTCTTGGCTTAACCTTTGCTTACTCTGAAAATAGTCCCTTTGATTTCAAAGGGAGTAAGCCGTTGGTCAACCTGAGGTTCTTTGTTTTCTTAACTCCTTTTCGGAGGGCAGCATCAATGTCCAGAGTGCCAAGATTTTAAGAGTTATTTACATACCCAAGTGGGACTCTTGCTTTGAACACCAGCGCCAGCAACCACCCACAAATCACTTTCCAACATGTTAGGCAGTTCATTAAACACAAATCAATACAAGCTGTCTTAAGAAAGCTGTTTGTTTGTCCGTCTGTCTAGGGTAATTTCACCTAGCAAAAACAAATATTTACTCTCCGTGCAGATTGTCAGGGCTACAGTAAATAACCATTTCATTTCAGTGCAAGCTTAATGCAGCAGCCTAGGCTCTCTCGGGAGGAAGAGTTATAACTAGGGTGACCAGACAGCAAGTATGAAAAATCGGGACAGAGTGTGAGGGGAATAGGTGCCCATATAAGAAAAAGCCCTGAATACCGGGACTGTTCCTATAAAATTGGGACATCTGGTCACCCTAGTTATAACACTACCAGAGATTGAAAGATTAGTTGGCTTTACCTGGAGACCTTTTTCTTCTATTTTTTTCTGAAGTATCTGAAGGCACTTGGTGAAGTCAGTGAAGTCTTGATCCGGTGTCTCTATCAACTCACATCCCTAGCAATAAAAATAGGAAATGAAAGAACACAAAAGGTCAATTATTTCTCAGTTTCAAGAACAAGAAAAAATTGTTTCTCTAGTCGTTTGCTGGTCTTATGATGAACATTATGACTACGTAGATTGGATTATATATTGGTGTATGCTGTTCTTAATTAAATGAACTGTGGCCCATTTGCCCACAAGTCTGTGCATAGAGATGCAGAATCAGAATACAAACTGGAAGGCGAAGAGATGCTGAGGACCTAAGCCCCACACCTAACTAGATACACAAGTTACCCTACTAAATTCAGAGAGAACATTTGAGAGTCTGGATATGCATGTCCTTAAGTGGTTTGTTGGATTGGTACCTTCCCAAGCAATGAAAGTTGCTAGTACTCAGCACCTTGTAGGATCAGACTCTTTTCCAGTAATTGCCCTGGTGCTGCAATTGTTACATTTCTACTATATGCTGAAACCCGTGTATAAACGTAAGGCCACAAAAACATCAGCTTGCTGGAACCAGCAACGTTGTGTAAGTTAATTTGCAAGGATTTAAAAATCAAGCCTCCTTATACTACAGTAAATAATAAATAATAGAGAGAACATGTTAAAAATGGAACAGAGCAATTCAGATTTCTTAATTCAGAGCTAAAATAATTCCTAAGCCTCTGCCAAAGAGCTGAGTAAGGAAAAAGTAATGTCTACCGTATAAAGTCACCATTCAAAGAGGTTTCAAGGATACAAAACACCCGTATGGCATCATAAATTATAATAAGAACCACACTTGCTAGATTTAGAGGTTCCCTTACCTACCACTTCAAGGTCTCCTTAAAAGCTTCCTGGCTCTATGTCTGTCTGATACATTTTATATTTCTGCCCTATACCGTAGTGACCGATAAGAAAATTAGGTTCTCACCGCTCAAAACGTATTATAAGAGTCTAAAAAAATATTGCATACACTGTTGGTAAGGCAAATAAAACAAATCTTTTCAAGTTTTTCCCCCATCTCCATATTTAAAATGTAGGGCCAGAAACTCAAAATAGAGGCAGAATTCACTAGTGCAGCATGCAAGTAGCGCTTAGTTCAGTGGTCCCCAACCTTTTTGTGGCCAATAGCACATTCATGTTTTCAGAAGTGTGTGGTGGGTGCCAACAATTTTTCAAGGCTTATTTTGTATTTGTACATTAAATAATACGAAAGACATCGTATTTAATATTACATAATATATGAATCCATCAGATAAAAAAGGTAATTTTACATGTAAAAGGTATTAATTAAATTATTCGGCAATTACTTTCACCTTACCATGTGAATTTGCTCTTTTTTATCTACCTATAAGAAAAATTAAGGAGTTTTTACAAAATAAATATCAAACAGTTTTCATCTTATTTATTTTAAAAAAGTAAAACATTGTTGAACTGCTAGTCCAAATATATTTATTCTGCTGGTCCAAATATATTTATTATTCTTACTTTAACATAGATAGCCAGTTATGGTTAATTAAAAATATTCTTTGTATTGTTACTTGTATCTGGATTTCAATAAACAAACAAATAAATATGAAAAAAAGTTAAACACAAGTTAATCATACGCGCTCATCAGTACTTAATGGAAAATAGGTATCATTAATTCATGTGGTTTTTCTAATAAAGTCAGTGTGATTTTTGGCACTGCATTTCTTCAGCCAATTTTTCATAGTTGTGAGAGTAGGATGATATTCCCATTTGTAAGCAATCATCAAGATGGGCATCTGTAAGCCAAGATCTGTATTTTGATTTTATGATGTTCATTGTTGAAAACAGAACTTTGGATAGATACGTGGAACTGAAATAAGATTTTATTTTGTATGCTACATTTTTTAAGGCAGGAAACTTTTTTCGGTCAACCAGATTCCAAAAGTTTTCATCTGTTGCGCAGTATTTTAGAACAATATCATTTTGAAGGTCCAAAATCTCCAGTTCCACATCTTCTGTTCTTACTTGAATGAGACTCTCAATCGATGTAGCCATTTCTGTTACCTCTATTTGGCAAGTAAAAGGATTCACAAGAAAGGCAACTACAGGCTCAATGATGGTGAACTGTTGAAATCTCTTTTCAAATTGTTCCAGAAGTGTTTGAATGTGGATAACAAATGGTGATGGGTTAAAATCACTGTCACATACCATTTTCTTCATACTTGGGAAATGTACGAGAGACTGTCTTCATACGTGACATCCACAAGATCAGTTTTGTTTTGAATGATTTTACAGAACCTATCGTTTGAGCCACATGTTTGTCTTTTCCCTGGAGCTCAAGATTTAAAATGTTCAATTTGTCAGTGATGTTGGCAAGAAAAGCCAAGTCCATTAACCAGCTGGAGTCTTCTAGTTGCTCAAAGTTCTGATTTGTGGACTTCAGAAATTCTTTGATCTCTTCGATTAGGCTTAAAAAATATGCAAGAACTTTACCTTTGCTCAGCCATCATACTTCTGTGTGCAAGATAAGATCAGACTGTTTATCATCAACATCTTCCAACAGGGCCTTAAAAAGTCGGTGTTGCAAAGTTTTTGCTCAAGTAGAGTTAATTATTTTAATAACGACATTCATGACGTGTTGAAAAGAAAGAAAGAACTTTGCCGCACAAAGCTTCTTGGTGGATGTCAAGGCTGTATTTGAACTTTAGGGTACAAATGTAGCGGCCTGCATGAAAACTTCTAAGCTTAACTACCAGCTTAGCTCTGGTCCGCTGCCACCATCCCAAGAATTCCCATCCCTGGGAAGCCTTGAGAAACCT